TACGAGGATCAAGGAAACTAGTTATCCCATATGTCAATACAACCACTTATGGTCTTCACTCCTTCAGATACAATTCTGCAAACATGTGGAAAAAAAACTAACAGAGGACCTGAGGTCATTGACGTCGCTGAATGAGTTTAGAACTAAAATATGTCAAATTTCTTTCGAACATTAACTTTCCTTTGAACATAAATGCAATTGTTACTTATGTAATTAGTAGTGTAAGGAACTGTATATAACATACGATTCTATTTGTTTTTATATATTTTATTTACTTATTTATTTATTTACTTAATTTTTTCCTTTTCTCTTTCTCGGAGAAATTAGCTATACAGCTACTCTTGTAAATCCGAGGTGAAATAAAGGTGATGTATGTATGTATTCACAATCTCCTAGGGGATTCGGCAACCGAGCGGGCTTATGGAAAAGTTGGAACCATCTATGCTTCCACTTTCGATATTTTTCCCGAGCATTAATCTGCTTTATGAGAATCTGCCCACGGAAATTGGGATATTCTGTTAAATATGGAACATATACAGCCTATCTCAACTGCCCAACAAAAGACTTTCTGCGAAGAACTGATGAAGCACCTCAACACCGACACAGCGAAAACAAGATTATTTATGCGACATTACTTTAGTTTCCAAAGACGACAGAGAGTTAAAGGCTCACAGAAATGTTCTACTTGCGTACTGAGTTGCGCGTATTTCTTCTGTAAGTCCTCCAATTCGGATTTTAATTGTGATAGCTGTGTTGATTTCATCGATTTACGCTGCATTGGTAATGTAAGCTTGATATGCTTCCTCTCGTCTTTCATGAACTGGATTTTCAGCCAGTTGAGCTTCGATCTCTTGTATCGCTTGACCTAACACAGTTTCCAAATCATGACAAGCCTTTTTCACCGTGTTCTGTCCCTCCACTGTTCTCATCTTAGGAATTGTGATGGATTTTGATCTTTCAGAAAAAGGTTCCCTGCTCTACATGTGATTTAAATTCTGTCAGATTCTGTTCATGATATTTAATGCGTGCTTTGATAGTCATCAGTTTCTGTCGATACTCTTTGAGAGTGATGGAACGATCTTGTGATTTCTCTGCCATGTTAACTCTACGAAGAGAAGTGAGGAAATGGTGAAAGTTAACCTAGCAAGTTTATTTTATCTAATGTTTTAAAATCTCTTTTATTATCCTTCGCAGATGTGTGGGGGCAATGCTAAAAGATTTGTTGATGAATTGCATGAAGTGTGTGTCATTTATCGCAGGACATTGACGTGAAAAGCTATGGCATTTCAAGGGATTCAGGAACTAATTCATGGACAGAATTAACCATAAATGACCCGTTAGTTCAAGTAACGAATACTCGAGTCTAATTTATATATGGTACTCTTTAAACAGTAAGAGACTGAGCATGCTAATGCATTCTTTTGTAAAATGTACATAGCCTTTACTCGCTTAAAACCTACATCGAACGTTTCATGGAACACTGAACATACTAATGTGTACCATTGTTTATTTTCTAGGAATTGTGCATTTTAATGAGAAATGTAATTCGTTTCACTACTACTAGGATGTACATAGTCACACAATTTAAAGTCCCACATAGAACCGTTTGATTAATAAAATATGGAGCAATACCTTATTTTTTGTCTCGATTTATTATGTTTCCTCTCCTCTTTCTTCCTTCCTTCTCTTCGCGCGCGCCTCCGGAATGGCGATCGCGTAGCGATCGCTCCTCGTTTTCCTCCTTGATTTTTCTCTTTTGGCCTCCTCCTGTTCCACCCTCTCCTCCTATTTCTCCTCCTCCTGTTTCTTCCACTCTTCCTCCTCTTCGTTTTACTCTTTTTCCGTCGCTGTGCATGCGTCTTTCTAAATACTACACGACATGTGAATCACTCTCAATTCCGTTTATTCCCTAAATTTAATCCCGCGAGTTTTTCCCACTCACTCATTCCATTCATTTATTCCCTCAACTTGTGACCACTCACACGCTCACAATTCATTTATTTACTCAATTTAATTCCTCGATTTTTACTCACTCATTCCATTCATTTATTCCCTTGTTTTTTTCCTCCCTCACACACTCGCAGTTCCTTTATTCACTCAATTTTCGATTCCTCGCTTACTCCATTCACACCCACGCAGTATGAATTGCTCTTATATAATTTATTCACTCACTTTTTCGGGGTCACTCCATTTATTTATTCCCTCGATTTTTTGGTTACTCACTACCCTGGTCCCAGAGGTTCTCTTCTCTCTCCCGGAGTACGATAATTCGGCGCGAAGCGCCGCCCAACGAGCTGTGCTTTGCAGCTCGTTGGTCGGCGCTTCGCGCCGAATTATCGTACTCCGGGAGAGAGAAGAGAACCTCTGGGTCTGGGACCAGGGTATTTACTCACACCCTTGCAATTCATTTATTCGCTCAATTTTTGCTCGCTTGCTTGCTTATAATTAATTTGTTCCCTCACTTTTTGTTTGCTCGCACGCTCACAATTAATTTATTCCCTCACTTTTGCTCGCGTACTACGTGAATACATGCTCCAACATTCATATTTGAAACGGATAATAATTATTCAACGTGAGGAATACTAAGTGACATCTTGTATGCTCCCTAAGGGAGGATTAGTCACTGTCTTGGATTTCATTGTTCGCATTGTTTTGACACCATCTTGGATCATTGTTATTTTTCAATTATAAGAAAAACACTAATTTTTAACACTAACCCTACAATTTTCCTTCTACACCTGCACCATATAAATACTAATTTAACCCTAATCCTAACCCTTTCTCCTCGTACACCCATGCGGTATAAATTCTAATGACTCACTGCATTGTTTTACTCCGAAATAAATTTATGTACACGCGCGTTTACTCAATTCATTTATTCACTCACTTTTGCTCCCAAATGGGCCAGAATCCCCATATATATACTACTTGAATGGATTGATATCACTAATTTATAATCAAGAAAAAAAGGAGGAGAAAACTTGTGAACGTAATGCCTACATGAAAATGATTGTTTTGTTTTGTATTGTTTTGTTTTTGTTATGTTTTGTATTGCTTTGTTTTTTGTTATGTTTTGTTTTGTTTTGTTTTTTTATCCAAATGGAACTTAACAAGTATTTTAAGGTCACCCAGATCGAACTTCGCATTTTGTGCTGAAAGTTACAGTGGATTTTCTATCCCTAAGTATTAGTCTCCTTTTGTTCTCAGCTCTGTTTTCATATACATTCTCGATGCGAATTGATATTCAAGCGAAAATTCCTGGGAAGGAAAGTAACTCTCCATACCGATGTAACTCAAGATTTCTGCAAGGTTTGAACAACAGGGTCCTCCTGTCATCCTAATCAATAAGCCGTATGCCTTATACCCACAATGCTATTCAGTCATTCGCCAGTTATTAAATGTCGCCCGGGACGGGAGGGAGGGAGGGAGGGAGACGCGAAGGATTTCAGGGATCACATGGTTTTTGAAAGGAAATGAAGGGGGGAGGATCAGATCTAGCCATTCACCAACAGAGTATAAAGCTAGGACGATAGGAAACTGACTGCAACTTAACTGAAAACTTGGGGGATGGGGGAGGGGCATGAGAACATCAGAAGGCCTTACTCTGATGGGGATCAGGAAATTAATATTTTATCGTGACTCAACCAAAAATTCTCCATCCTTCAGGGGGTAAATATGGACCGCTCCTTGGTTAATTTCATGCACGTTGGTTTTGAGGAATTAAAATTCCTATTCAAATATTACATTGCGCAAATATACCAACAGGATATTTTCTCAAAAGAATCCAACCCCTGACTTTCCCTCTTTCCCTGGAGATTCCGCTCACAACGTTTTCCCAGTCCCCTGAAACTGTTTTCTACTCGTCCCCAGAGTCTCACAGCCGACTCGGGAAAGAAAAATCGAGCGGGCATGTGGGAAAGTGGGATCCAGCCGTACTTCCGCTTTCGATATTTTTCCAGAGTATCCAAATTATTAACCGCGTGTGAGCAAAATCTGCCCACAGAAATAAGGACATTCTCTTGAAGATGGACGATTTACAGTCGATCTCAACCGCTGAACAATCGGCTTTCTGCGTGGAAATGTTGAAGCGCCTCAACATTCAGCGAAACCTGGATTATTTGTGCGACATTATTTTGGTTTCGAAAGACAACAGCGAATTTAAGGCTCACAGAAACGTACTTTCCGCCGTAAGTCCGTTCTTTTGTAAGCTTCTTCAAAGCGACATGAAAGAGAATCGAGAAAGGGTTATTCGATTTGACGAGATTTCAGGATCTGTTATGGGAGATGTTCTGGAATTCATCTACAGTGGAACTGTGGAAGTAACTCAGGAGAATGCCAAGGAACTGATATCCGCAGGGAATTATCTGATCATACCGAGCTTGAAAACTGTTTCGGGGCGATTTCTAGAGGGAGAAATGTCCAATTCAAACTGCATCTCGACCTTTTACCTGGCTGAGAAATACGACTGCGACGAGCTAATCTGCAACAGCAGGAAATTCATCCACGAAAACTTCGCCTCCGTAGGAGAAATGGAGGAATTTCTGAGCTTAGAGGCTAAGGAGGTGGCGCGGTGGATTTCAAATGACGAGATTGCTGTGGAAGCGGAAGCCAGCGTCTTCAAGATCATACTTAAATGGGTTGAACACAATAAGAGCGAGCGAAAAGCAGCATTCGAGGAATTGTTTCCTTATGTTAGGCTGAGTTTTTTGTCGCGTGACTGTTTGGAGGATGTCGTGACAAACGAACTGGTGCGTGAGAATTTGGCTTGTGTGAAGCTGGTCATGGATTCTACTACAAAGATGGCTACTTTTGCAAGTGAAGATGATCTCCCGCAGCCACCAAGAAAAGGTCTGGAAACACGTGTTATCCTAGCATGTGGCGGCAAGTATACTTATTGATATCTCCCAGAAAAAAAACAGTGGAAACGACTGCCAGACGGGTCAACTGAGAGAAACCAGAAAACACAAATGCTTACATTTCGTGATCAGCTGTACACATTTCAAGAGTTCAGTAAGGCAGAAAAGTTTGATCCCGTGTTTAATGGCTGGTCAAAGTCAGATCTGACTGACGTATCGGTAGATAACGCCATCGTGACCGTTGTCAAGGGGGATATGTACGCTATTGAAGTTAACAAACCTGTTGGACAGTCTACTATCAAGAGATACAATGTGGAGCTTTGTACATGGCAAACAGTTGTGGAATCTCCTCAAGGCTGTAGAAACGATTCCTGTGTGGTCGCGGTTGGCAGCTATCTATACCTTATGGGTGGATCGGCCCCTGGTGATGCTCAGTACGTCACTAAAGCTGAGAGATTCAACACTGTGGAAAAGCAATGGGAGGAAATCGCCGACATGCAGCAAGGAAGAGGTGGGGCCTTCGGAGAGGTTTCTGGAGGAAAGATTTTTGTTGCAGGAGGCGTCAACCAAGAAGGGAAAGTGTCAGAAAGATGCGAGATGTACAACGTCTCTACAAACGAATGGCAGTACATTGGAAGCTTGAATCATGGGCGTGTTTATGGTAGCATGGTGTGCCTGAAGGAAACACTGTACGTACTGGGTGGCAGTGAAAGCAGTTTGAGGGCAGTTGAAAGCTATGACTCAACAAAAGACAAGTGGATTGAGACGACAGCCATACCAATGACAAGCTTCCCTGACGAAACTGAGAACACATTCACTTGCTGTGTACTTAAGATCTTCAAAGGAGTAGTGGACAAAGCCGAGCTTTTCCCCAACCTAACTGGGTTCTCCGTTTCTGTTACGCAGTCCCAATCTGCCTTTGGTACTGGGCTCTTCGGTTCTGGTTCGCCAGGCTTTGGTACTAGGCCCTTCGGTTCTGCATCGCCGTCCCAATCAGGCCTTTGTTTTGGTTCTGGTTCGCCAGACTTTGGTATTAGGCCCTTCGGTTCTGCTTCGCCGTCCCAATCAGGCCTTTGTTTTGGTGTCCCACGGTCCCAACCCGTATCTAACCGGCCTGCAGGCTTTACTTTCGGTACCCCGCGGTCCTAACCAGTACCTACCACTAGAAGCATTTGAAGTACTACGCAGTCTCATGGGACCTGTCTGTGCTCTTTTTCCGGTTAAATTTCGTGACTGTATTTGAATCGGCCAAGGACGTCTAAATCAAGTTTTCTAAGACATACAATTCCTTTCTCTTGATGTCCAAGGAACACTAAATCTTACTCCATAGATAAAAGAGAAAATAGACAAAGAAAAAATATAATTTTAGCCATTCGGTGGGGCGTTCTTCACGTCTCGGTGTCGAGATTTTACAACTGTTATCGAAAGGATAACGTATCCAACAAGTAGGATTTTAAAAATCGCCAGACTGTCACTGTCCTCAAAATTACACAGGTTAGTTACAGATTTGTTAATTACTAGAGCTTTCAACAAAATTAAAGGCGCATGCGTAAAGTTACTATTGCAGTTGAATATTATTTGACAGTTGCCCATAGCCACAAGTTTCTTTCTTATTAACATTTAGATACCAAGGAACTATTATTAATACTTTCAGTAAATGAAAACCCAGCAATGCCTTAAGGAACTTTAAATTTTAATCGACTAAAGAAAGCAAGGTGTGGGAACGATCAGTTTTTTTTTTATACGATGTGTTCATTAGAAAAAAGAGAGATCCACAAAAAGGCGTATTTTTTGTTTCACAATGATTAAAGGCAAGAAGCATGACAGGTGTAGATACGTTGACAATGCTTTGCAGTTTGTTGAGTGAATACAAAGTACTTATTGAGTAAGAAGTAAAAAATAAAGTTTGTGACATCTCAAGATGGTGTGTTTTGTTGTTGAACAAGTTCCTGAACGCAACACTAATCCCTTTATGAGCAGTCGCTGATTCAGACCTTGGGCTAAGGGGGGTACCTGTTTTTTTTTTGTGTATGTACACCTGCTGGCTTTTTTACCTTCTGCGTTTATTTTTTTAAGCCAAAATAATGGAGGGGGTGGGGCAGGCCCCTCCCCTAGATCCGCCATTGATGTGAACCAACTTCACCTTTGACAGAAAATCTTTACACAATTCATTCGCTGTGATTTACCGCAATGATTTTAGCAATCATCCTTGCTTGAATAGGCAGTATGCGAGCATTGTTGATAATACTTATTATCACGGCCAAACACAAGGGCTTTGTTCTTCAGAGTCCTCTTGTATGTGCATCCTTCCTATCAACCATTTTTTGGGATATCACGCAATTCTCTCACCTTGGAATGGAGAGAAATGTGTTGCGTGACATCCTGAGAACCCAGAAGTGAAGGCGAATGCTCTGCTAGTTATTTTCAGCCCAAAATGAATGTACAGACTTGTAAGAGCTCATACAATGAAAACTCCTTATGGATTAGACCTTTCCTTTACTACTTGAAGAGTGGTCTTAAAATCAGATTTTAACAGGTAAGTCGAATAGCCAAATAAATAAACTGACATTCGTCTGTGAAAAAGGAGAAAGGGATGTTTGGTTCGTTGTCAGGCTAAACATACTAAACCAGTTCTTTACACGGGAAAAATGCAACCCGCGCCGTCAAACGCGGGAAAACAAGACAGAAAATCACATTGCTTGCTCCTGATTGGTTAGAGTGCACCGAATCTGAACTCTGATTCGCTACAGAACTCAATGTATGGTTTTAACTATCATTAAGAAAGATTATTAAAAGCAAAAGTAAAGTAAACACAGCAATACTTTCGAGACAACACACAATTTAAAATAAATATCAGGTTGAGAGGTTGGAAGTTATTTTCCAAGAGACTGAATCAGCAGTTTGTTGATGTCCTCCAGTTGTTCAGACACATTTTGCTTCAGAGGACGATAATCGCTCTCCAGGCTTTTTGTAGCAATAACTGAGTGAAGTCAAGGAAATGTTGCAGTATAGTTAATCTCTATCAAAATGTTACCTATTTCTCATTTTTCGAGGGCATCCCTTGAAAACGTTTTAGTATTTATGTAAAAAAGCACTTTACCAAAACAATACCTTTCAGTTGCTTTCAGACTACCTTCCATTACCTGGCCCCGCACTTGAGATTATCCATAGGTAGTTAAATTTAAAGATTACAGTGTGAATACATTTTTTCTTTTTAATCAGAAAAAATAGGATACACTCCTTCATGACGAAGTTGTTTTGTTCATGGTGTTGCCACTTTCTCTCTAAGTTTCCAAGCTGCAATGAAATTAAAGGACAGGAATCATAACATGAACAACACAAAAGAGCTCATGGTGGATCCTGGTACAGACGATAATGATGAAATGTTGGTAAAGTTTGTCAGTGACAAGTGGTACCTGAGAATGTGTCTCGTTTTCCATTAGCTTACTCTTCGTAGCATCATAAAATGAAGACAGGCTCTGAACGTCTGAAATGGTTAAAACAGAATATAGAATCAAGCTATATTTGAATCGATTAAGAGGTCAATTATGGGATAAAATGACGTTTTTTTTAGAATAACCCAACTCTGTGGAAGCTATATTGAGCGGCCAACCTGTATTTAAGTTATCACCCTGCAATTACATGTGGGTGACCACTTAATACAGGTTCCACAGTAGACAGATAAAAAAATTGAAAAATAGGGAACTGAAAACAAAAGATCGATACATCAAGAAAGAACGATGAAACGAGATCGCAAACATATAAACAAAGGAATAACCCAACGACCAAACGATAGAACGAAACATCAAGCAAGTGAACATCGACATGAATGGCAAAAAAGCAAGATGAAAACACCAATGGATAAATAAACAAACAGCTAAAACCAATCCAAAGATTGAATAACAAAAGGAATTTAAAAGGAGACGAATGAACGATTGACTCAACTTACGCTTTTTGAATGTTTCTTTCCTTGCGGATAGTGTCTTCTTTTCTTTATACAAACGCTATTAACAGACAAAAAGTGCACAATATTTGTTAGTTTTTAAGATAAAGTTTGACGTGAGTCTTTCCGCTTTTTAATGAAAACATTGTCTAGCCCAGGCAATTAAGTTAAGTCACAACTTTGAAGATGGCAAGCTTACCGTTTTTTTCTCCTCTGACTGGTCTGTTAGGGCATCCAGGTCGCTGAATGTTTCAAGTTCCTAAAATGAGTATGAAATATAAGCCTATGATGTACATGAGGGACTGGCTGAACAGAAAAAAAGAAAGGAACAAAGAAACAGAAGCACCAAAACGCTGGCAGGAAACAGAACGAAAACTCAACGAAACAAATGAACAAACTATAGCACTGGGCCGAGTTGAAATGAAAATGAAATGATCTTTAGTAGGGCTCCAAGAAGGCTTTTCAGTCCTAATTTACACAAATGCATTGGTTATTGTCTACAATAGGAAAACTACCTATCAATCCTAATTCACAAATGAGTATTAAATATTATCTACAATAAAAGGGCGTTCCGTCCTAATTTGTAAATATATAGCAATCATCGTACAGTGATACAATTAACTATTTGAAAAATATAATCGAAAAAGATAATCTTTCAATTTCCTCTTAAAACATTGCTAGGTTATTACAATCAGTGATGGCAGTCGGCAATGAGTTCCACATAGTTACTGATCGGGTTGCTCAAAACATGATTAACCTAACCTGTGTTACTGTAAATTTTAAATTTAGTGTTATAGCTCCGCAAAGGAATTTTTATGGGATTTTGTTCCCATTATTTTCCAGTCATATTGAAAGAACACCCAACAAATCCTTAGCTTTTATACGCGCTCTTCTAGATGAGAAATAAAGCCAAGGTTAACTTTCACTCCTAAATTAACGTTAACCCCTTTCACACAACATGGCCCAGATGAATAGATGGATGAACGAAAGAAGGGACCGGTTATTAATTAGAGT